GATAAAGTAAGTATTTGTAAGCTTCTTTTCTTGGTCGTATGTTAGGGTCGGAAAAAGATTTGTGTATATGTGATATTATCCTCTTTGTGGGAGTTCTATTCTTGTCGTTATTATGCTTTAGTGTCTTTTAGAATTGCTGCAGGACTTTGCTGGTTTTCCCCCCTTATTTCCTGTAGTATCTCCCTGTTGGCCTAACCTAAAAGCTGATTTATTGCCCCCAAGGCTCACAATCAGTGTCTTATTTGATTATATTATTTTCCAGATTTATGATATTTTCCAACTGCTGCCACCAAAGATTCAAGTGGGTGTTTTCTCTGCCACTATGCCACCTGAGGCCCTTGAAATTACTAGGAAGTTCATGAACAAGCCTGTGAGGATTCTTGTGAAGCGTGATGAGCTTACGCTTGAAGGTATCAAGCAATTTTATGTCAATGTTGACAAGGAAGAGTGGAAGCTTGAAACTCTTTGCGATCTTTACGAGACCTTAGCCATCACCCAGAGTGTCATCTTTGTTAATACCAGGCGTAAGGTTGATTGGCTCACTGATAAAATGCGCAGCCGTGATCATACAGTATCTGCAACTCACGGAGACATGGACCAGAACACTAGAGATATCATTATGCGAGAGTTCAGATCTGGGTCTTCTCGTGTGCTCATCACCACTGATCTTCTGGCCCGTGGTATTGATGTGCAGCAAGTGTCCCTTGTGATTAACTATGACCTTCCTACTCAGCCAGAGAACTACCTGCATCGTATTGGTCGTAGTGGACGATTTGGAAGAAAGGGTGTTGCTATCAACTTTGTCACAAAGGATGACGAAAGGATGCTTTTTGACATTCAAAAGTTTTACAATGTTGTTATCGAGGAGTTGCCAGCCAATGTGGCCGATCTCCTTTGATGCGGTTTTGGTTCTGTGAGGTGAATTTCTTCTTTAAATGAAGTAATTTAATATCTTATTCTTAGGTTAGTTAGATTTCAACTGGACCTATAATTGGGAAATGTGCCATGATTCGCCATGGAACCTGTAATTTTCCAGTTTGGTTGGAGTACCTACTATCAATTTTGTCGGTTTGTTTTTATTTTGTATTGTAAGTCCAAATTAACTCCAAGTTTTGGATGTTTTTTGAATTTTTATTGAGATTTAACTCTTGGCCTTGTTATTGTGTATGAGGAAAGTTTTAGAGGCAAGTTGTTTTATTTGAATTGTGTAATAGTTTCACGCATTGTGGTGCTTGTGTAGTTTGGTTTCGATTTGAGAGAGAAAACATAGTAAGCGGAAGATGGTGCATGTGTTGACGCATATTGTATTCGAGACTTGCTAGCTTCCTTGTGATCATTAATCCAGGATTTGTGCAACGGATGAGACCATCCCACGGTTGAGCTGTTTAGTATTTTAGTTGAATCTTACAGCTTCTGGCTCTTCTTGTTTGACATGTGTAGAGAGTGGCTAAAGAAAACGAGACTTATTTTCTTGACTCGCTAGTACAATCCCAATTATAGGACCAGTATTAGCACTGAACTATTGATCCATCCATAATCATAGAAGCTGCTGCGTCATAGTTTTTTGTTTGAAATGGAATGGAAGCTGCTGCATCATAGTTGCTGGAACCGTTGCCCCTCTGTGGTTACCTCCTAAACACTGTAAATACTGCCGGTTACACCTGTAAGGTTAGGTGCTGGTTTGTGTTTACAATAATAGTAGCTATTACAGATTTGGTAACCATTGTAACACGATTAAACGATCAAAGTGACCAATGATTTTCCATAGAGAGCCCTTATGTTTCCCTTCATTATACTTAACAGCGAATGTATACATGATTGCGTGCAGTAACAAAGACATCTCTAGTGTATTTTTCACAAGTGGGCACAACCTTACTCCTACCTCGAGCAGGTAGAGAGAATGTTTACGATAGACCATTGGCTTAAGGCACGGACATCATAGCAGTAAGGAAAAGAAACATAGTAGTGAACAAGTCATGGAAAGAAGCATTACTAATATCAAGATAGCAACAAAACCAACGGCACGGACATCATAGCAGTAAGGAAAAGAAACATAGTAGCGAACAAGTCATGGAAAGAAGCATTACTAATATCAAGATAGCAACAAAACCAATGCCGAAGCAACACTAGGTAGTAATAGAAATCTAATAATAAGATAAAACGTGAATAATACTAAAACTATTGGTATGGAAAGGAAATATGCTTTGCATCCTACTTACCTTCTGCCCTAATTCTTGACCTCCACAATCTCCTATTAAGTGTTATGTCCTCGGTAAGCTGAAGATGTGTCATGTCGTGCCTAATCACCTCTCTCAATACTTCTTCGACCTTCCTCTACCTCTCCTTAGACCTACCATATTTAACCTATCACACCTCCTTACTAGGGCATCTACACATCTTCTCTTCACATGCCCAAACATTTCAGTCTCACGTCCCCGCATCTTATCCTCTATGGGAACCCCCACCTTATTCCGAATATCTTCGTTCCTGACCCTATCTCTCCTAGCATGCCTATACATCTATCTCAACATCCGTAATCGCCATAATGTATGCTACAAGAACATCTCTAACCTCCAAACACTACTATATCACCTTTATTGGGACATTGTCGTATGCTTTCTCCAGATCAATGAATACCATGTGCAAGTTCCTCTCTCTCTCCCTCTACTGCTCCACCAATCTCCTTACAAGATGAATGACCTCTATGGTCGATCGCCCCGGCATGTAGGGGTGCTTATCGGGCGGATAATTATGCTTAACGGTTCGGCTTATCGATTATCGTATTATAAATGTAGTAATCCGCTAGCCATCCAATAAGACAACGAGCGGATTGGTATCAGATTAAAGATTATCGGACGGTTATCGGGCGGTTTATTGGCTAAACTAGATAGAAATTTTTTGAACAATCAATACAAAAGGGCCAAATGCATAGTTCAAACTGTCTCTATTAGTTTTTGAAAAATCAATACCATTAGTATTGTTATCCACAAAAGTAATACTATAGCCCAGAGAGGAATTCAATTCATGTCCATTCATAATTCAAGAGAAGTAGAGACGACTGCCATTAGCTACAGACAATTCTATCATTCTATGTACAACTACTTATGCAACAATGTAGTAACAAGTTTATATACATAGGAGTAAAAGTGTAAATATAAAAATTCTTAACGGGTTAACGTTTTACCCGATAAAAAAATCGAGTAATCCACCGAAAAATTGTTAAGCCGTTGATTATAAAATCTCAATCCGTTCAGCATCCATTACCCCGATAATCCGATAACAATAAACCAATAAGCCATCAGTTCGGTTCGATTAATGGTTTCAGTTCGATTTTGAACAGCCCTACCAGCATGAATTTAAACTAGTTCTCGAAAATAGAGACGTTCCTCCTCACACTCATGCATACATGATCGCGTGTATAGAGCAAAATCTAACTGCATTCATATAGTGTTGCCAGGGGCAAAGCTATATCTTATCATGGGTTGTCAATTGACCACCCTTCGTCGAAATATTCTATTATGTATATAGGTAAAATATTAGGTTTTATAGGCATATAACATATATTGAACACCCTTTATCAAATAACTTTTCACTTCTTTCAAGTTGAACACCCGTGATAAAAATTCTTTGACTTGCCACTAAGTGTTGCTGTTCTAGATAGTTCCACTCTTGTAATGGTCACTTTTAGAATATAACTTTTCAGCAGTTCTCTTACCATGTTTCCCGTGTACTGCCCCTGTTCTTCACTAGTAAGTATAATTTATATGGATTTTTTTTCTTTCATTGTACCTTATTTTTAGCTAAATCCGTATTGATTCTAAAGATTTGTAAACGCCGATATCTTAGTACAAATGACTTAGGGTCATATCAAAGTTTTCTCTAGGGGTGGCAAATGTGCGGGTTGGGCTGAATTTGGGCGGGTCAAGATGGGTTAGGTCAATAAATGGGTCATTGCCCAACCCAGCCCAACGTGTACTTGGGCTAAGATGGACTGGGTCAAGATAGGCTAAACTATGAATCATAACCCAACCCGCCCAACATGACCCATGTTTTCGAACCATGCTCATCTTGCATAAAAAATACCTTTTACCTTAAAATGTGTAAGTTGAAAAAAAAATTGGGGGTGGTGGTAGGGGTGAAATGGGGGAGGGGTGGATGGGTGGGTGGTGCAGAAAAACGAAAAAAAATAAAAAATTGAAAATATAAAAAAAAAAGTAAAAAAAAATATTTTTGAGG